AAGCTCCGTTTACACTACGCTCAATTTTTGGTACGGCACGGATAAAATTGGTACCCGTGCCACTTTTTTGGTTCTTGGACTACCTATTTAGGTAAAAAAGTGGTATACCAAAAATTGAGCGTAGTGTAAACGGGGCTCTACCTAAATAGGTAGTCCAAGAACCAAAAAAGTGGTACGGGTACCAATTTTATCCGTGCCGTACCAAAAATTGAGCGTAGTGTAAACGGGGCTTTAGAGACTCCATATGATTGAGAAACTTCCATGTTTCAGGTTGGTCAACGGCATCCATATTAAAATCTCCAGTAATCACCAGTTGCTCCTTGCACAAAAGGAGAGCTTCCATGTAATTTACAAACTCTGTGAAGAAAACAGAAATTGTTACTTTGTTCTTGTCAGAGTATGGTGGACGGTAGACATTGACAACTCGAAGAGCATAGGATGAGGAGTAGGTCACAATCCACTCAGCGTCCTTTTACCCAGCCTCAACTGTTTTAACCTGAAGTGATTCACAATATAACAAACTAATTCCACCACTACGACACCCAGTGCGAGGATGATCAATAATTTTAAAACCTTCAGGAAAGTTCAACCTGCACAGCCTCATTGTCCGTTTTTAACCAAGTCTCAGTAATTGCGTAGAGATCAGCATTACAATTATGTACATAGTCCCTAAGATCTCCAGTTTTATTCCTCACTGATCGTGCGTTGAAAATACATTGGCAACCATTGAGTAGCAAACAGGTCACATTAATCAGGTTTCCAATACACCTGTGTGAATTCGATGAATCAATGATCTTTCTGTTCTTTCAGGAGACACTTTGAATATTATTCTACATTGACAGTTGAGCCCAGTCTGTGCTGGGACAATGACGAATGGTTGTCAATCCCGAATGGTTGTCAATCCCATGCCAACATCATTGGCGGTCAAGTGCCTTGTTGAGCTTTTGCCCACAATCACATGTTTGGTAAATCTATCATTATTATCTGGTAAATTTGCAAATGATTGGAAGAAAGCTCTTGTGAATCCTCTTCTGAAGAAAGATAATTTAAATTTGGAGTTTTGTAACCTCCACCCGATCACTAACTTGCAGTTCATATCCGAATTGACAGAACATGCAATGATCAAATGCACAATCACATGATGCGGTTTGATCTTTATCCAACATTACAGTCAGCATATCATCAAGGACATAGTACTGAAACAGCTTTACTCAGGATACATAATCACATTCTTTTAAACATGGACAAGACACATGTAACCTTGGTGGTGTTCCTTGACTTAAGTGCAGCTTTCAACACTGTAGACCACAATATCCTAATGTTGTGTTTAAGATCAAGCTTTGGTATAAGAGGCAATGTCCTAAATTGGTTTATATCATACCTAACAAATAGATCTCAAAGAAATTCCTATAATGGGCATGTTTTGAACAGTTTCCCTCTCCCACAAGGCGTCCCACAAGCTCATGTGTAGGACCCCTGTTATTTACAATTTATTCCAGCAAACTATTTCAGGTTATACAAAATCATCTTCGAGATGCCCATGCATATGCAGATGATTCGTAACTCTACCTTTCATTCAAGCCTGATAGCCTAGTGTAGTCAGGACGAGGCATTAGCGAGTTTATGATTGACAACGCGCTGCACGAAGACGCCGAGGGGGGACTAGAGACTAACGCGGCCAGGTTGTCTTCAATGTTTCATGCGGCGTCTTCCCGCCTTTCACGACGCTATTTTGAAAATTCTACGTCGTGCTGACAACGTAGCTTGTTTCAAGGTTAGTTATTGCTTTTCTTCTTTTTTAAATATCAAATTCGATAAGTATAATTCTTCTTCTGTTTATATGTGTGCCCTGGTACAATTTTCCCAATGTTTTGCCTTCTTTTCGACCTTTCAGCCTTAGTAAACCTATGCTATAACTGTTCCCATGTTTTATATTGTGTAGTGCCTTTATTGCCAATTGCCATGTTAAATTAAAACAAGATATATGGAGTCAAAAGGAGCAGAAGACCAGCCAAGTCGAAGGGTCCCATTGTATGTAAAGTTTATAATTAACTCCTTGGTCATTTAATTTCCATGTTGTTTTTCATTATAAATAGATTAGTGAATGCAATATATGAATTTAATATAAGCCCCCTTTGTCCTTGCCTTGTTTATAAAATACATTTACCTGACAGAGCTGACACTCCTGATAGGCTACAAAATGATATTTCATATTTTCCTGCTAAAGGCTTCTTAACACCTTTTATTATTATCAAATAATTAAATGTACAATGTACTTATGTCAGAGTGTCAGTAACCCAAAATGAATCTTCACTTTAATTTAATTTATATTTTACAATTGTTTATCAAATATTATACCAATTTAATTATCTGTGTTTTTGTTCACAAAATTTCAAGTGTCTTCAATTTCCTAGAAGAATAATAACCATGCACCATTCATAAGAATCATAAGCATTTATATGCACACTATTCTACTATTGAGAAATATATGTAAAAGTAGAATTATTAAGTCCTCACTAGCTTTCCTATTTAAAGAGAAAGTGTCTATATACATGTTGGCATGTTATTTGGAATAAGCTTCTATATCAAGGATGAGGAAAAAAGATATTTGCTGAAGAGGGAAATACAATGCACAGATAGGATTGACCCATGGCTTTGTTTTCAAATTATATTTTGGAAATGACAGTGTAGATGCAAATTATCAATTTACCAGAACTGGGATTTCTACTCATTATTCTAACAAAGACATTTTAATCATTTTGTAGGCAAAAGATGTTATGGACCAATAGACATGACATTCTACTCTGCCGAGAAATCCTGGTGAAAGAACCATACAAGTTCAAGCATGGATCCAGGGAAAAAGGTCATTGCTGGAACACCATAGCTGATAATTTAAAAAGCATGGGGGGAGAAAAATTTATTGTTGACCAAAGATCAGTGCGAGATCGATTTTCAAAGCTGGAAAAGCATCATAAGAGAAAAATGGCAGAAGAGGAAAAAGCATCTGGTATTAGTCCTGAATTTACAGAACTTGATGAAGCATTGGAAGACATTGTAGAAAGAACACAGGAAGTGCAAGAAGAGTTTGCAGCAGAGAATGACAAGAGAGAAAAGATAGCTGAAAAGGAAAGAGAAACAGCAGAGGATGTAAGAAAAAGATCTATGGAAAAACTGGGAGAAACCAAGGCAAGAGAAAATGCAAAGAAAACAAACAAATCAAGAAACAGCTCTTTGGAATATTTTAAAGAAAAACATGATAAAGAGCTTGATTTAAAGAGGGAAGAAATGGAGCTAAAGAAAAGGGAGATGGCAATGAAAGAAAAGGAAGCAGAAAGGGCATGGGAAATTAAAGTTAAAGAACAAGAAATAAAAAGTAAAGAGATGGAAGCAAAGAAAAGAGATGAGGAGTTACGTGCCAGAAATGAAAGTAATATGATTGCTGCATTACAACAACAGCTATAACAGCAACAAGGCATGTTTATGCAAATGCAGCAGCAAAATAAACTGTTATTGCAATTGTTAAATAACAATACAAAGAATGAAGATTGACATTGAAATTATTTACAATGTACACTACAGTATATAATTATTTTCAATAATTTAATGATTTATTTACACCTTATTGCCGAACAATACCGTATATTGAAGATTAATTTACATGTTACATTAAAAATTGTTCGGCCAAAACATTTTGCAGTTATTTGTATATTTAATAATTACAGTACCTACCGTAATCTCTCTATTAAGCCTCCTGAGGCCTTAGTCTTTTCAGGCACATTTGCAGGGTGCTTATTAGAGAGGGGGGCTTATTTATCTATGGAATGAAGTTTTACTGAAATAAAACAATGTGTTAAACCAACCATTGTTGTATTTAAAGGGGGTGCTTAATAGAGGGGGGGCTTAATAAATTTCTTCATCTAAAAGGGGATATTTAGGCCCGAGTTATGCAATATTGGATTCACATCAGAGTGACATCAAATTTTACTGCTTCGAGGTGGATTTGGCACCTAAAATTATGATATAAGTATATAACATAATTAAACAAAAACTTCATATATGAACAGTTGTAATAGCAGACAAGACTGGAAAACACCTTAATTGATGTTGCTCCAATATGAATCTGGTATTGTGCAACTGGGGCTTTATTTGAGAGGGGCTTAATAAAGAAATTACGGATAATAAAATTGCAGTGTTGTTGCAATAATGATCCATGTCCATAACAATGTTCTTACTGTAAGTACTCATTGAGGTTTGGTGGAGCAATCTCGAAGTATGAAGATGTTGTGTTCCCATACAGGCATGTAAGAGCATTTCTTAGAAGGGCACATACCACATAAAATTTGCCAACACCACTTAGTCCAATTTTGAGGGTTTTTTTGAAGTCAATGAACTTAAAATAGTTTGCTATGTCCCCAAAAACCCATTCAACAGATACTCTAACTGTGCTCATTGAGCGATTTAACTCTTGCTGGTTTAAGGTTAATGCACCCCGCCTTAAAAAGGGACGCTGGAGGTGAACTCGATGGGGATAAGCTGGATCACCATACAAACAGAGTACTTACCAGTAGGCGAATAAGAGTGCTCTTGAAGCTTCTCTAAAAGACCAGACATTATAAGCATTCTGCTGTCATGTCTTTTTCCTTCAACTGGACCATACAAATTAGCTATTAATCCATTTGGTGCCACGACAGACTGATACTTTAAAGCATGTACTCGCTTGTGGCATTGTAAACGTCTCTTTGATTCCGCTTTGGTCCACAAATTGGCCTAACCAATTGTCAAGTGCAGAACCTTTATTATGTATCGCAGTCGCATACAGTTGTAGGTTTTCTGGAGACAACCACGGTTGGTCAAGGTCTTGAAACAGGTGTGAGTACCTCTCATATAGGTCATCAACTACAGTGTTGGTAATCATACACAGTTGTGGCACAGGCCGACCAAACCTCGGTACTAAGTCAGCATATCTACATGGATATGCAAACCGTTTTAGGCAAACACAAAGAGCTTCAACAGAGTCAACGACCAAACCATTATAGCACCGGTAAACTTCAGGTAATTTCAAGGAAAAAGCCAAATTGTAAATATCATTTTTCTTGAAACGCATTTCAACTTCACACTCGTCGTCTCTCATATCCTCAAGGCTAAATCTTTCGTACTTCCAGTACGGAAGACCAATGTGTAAGTTACTGTGTTCGTTTTCTTCTAGCAACAACAATAATTCCTCATCATCAATCATATTTTCATCATACATCATAAAAAGTTGTTCGGCCATTTTGAATCAAAATAAATGTGCGTCGTGGTTTGGTCATCGTGATTCGTAACTTAAAATATGCGAGAAGAGTGTGATGCTCCGACCGCGCTCGTTACCAGTTTTCTCTACTGCGTCTTCGTGCAGCGCGTCGTCAATCGTAAACTCGCTATTAGATGCGATGGAACGGTGTGTGGATGACATAAGAACATGGATGATAGCGGATAAACTTAAAATTAATGAAGGAGTTCTTAGTTGTTGGAACTAACCAACAACTTTGTAAAGTTAACATTGATCATCTTACTCTCAGTGCATCAAAAATCAATTCTACAAGCACGGCCAAGACTCTGGGCAGATGGCTTGATTTCAATCTTAACCTACAAGAACATATTAATAAGACTTGCAGAGCTCCATTCGTTCATCTATATAACATAAGGCGCATCAGGAAATATTTATCTAAAGAATCGACACAAACACTAGTTCAAGAATTTATTATCGGATGCCATAAAGGCCTACCCTCAGTTCATCTGGACAAACTACAGCGTGCACAGAACTCGGCTGCGGGAATAATCTGCAAAACAACAAGATTTGACTACATAACAACTGTGTTATATACTGCACTGGCTGCCTATCAGATACCGCATTAACTATAAAATACTTATTCTTACTTTTAAAGCGATTCACAGCCTTGTGCCTGAATATATTTGTAGTTTAATTAGCATCAGGGAACAATTAAGATACAGTCTTCGATCTAACAGTGGACTATTACTTTATCAACCTGGTTCAAAATTGAAGACATAATGGGATAGGTCATTTACATCTGCTGCTCCAACACTCTGGAATAAACTACCTTTACATATCTGTAGCATTAACAATTTTACAGGTTTTAAGAGCATTTTGAAGAACTAAATTAACATTTTAACTAAATTAAATTAATGTCTTTATATATGTAAATAAGTTAGTAAATAGTATATATGTAAATAGGTTAGTCTATATCAATTTCTGTAAAGCACATTTAATCATATTTACATGCTAATTTGCGCTATATAAGTTATTAATTATTATTATTTAAAAATAGATGAGGACCTGATCTAACATTGTGTTAGTGCAATATAGATAAATATTTACTGAAATTGTTTTGTTTCTTAGCTTTTCACAGACACTGTAACCGTTTTGGTTCCCCATTCTTTATATATCACAGAGCAATGAAATGCAGCCTCTAACCTCTTCAGGCTTACATGAAATGATCTAGATGAAAGGAAATGTGATCATCCAAGGACAAAAGGAAGAAATATTGCTTGTCTCTTTAAATCTTCTCATTATCTTATATATTAACTGTTATGTTTATAAATTTCAAAGAGTTGAATAAATTCCAAAAGAGTTATTCTTCCTGTTCTTAGATCTAAATTCACAAGCAAGCATTTCAACTCCAGTTTCGAGATCTTTTCTTCAACAACTTGGTAGGGAGTCTCGCACTTCACATAGAACACCCCCACCGACTCCAAGTCTATCCTGTTGATATATCGCAAAATCATTCACCAATAAAATTTCACAATCCAAATTTTTGGGTTTGAGCCAAGTTTCTGTAATACATATTAAGTCGGAATCTATAGCAAATGTTTTAAGTTCGTTTGTCTTGTTAATCACACTTCGAGCATTTAGATATAAACATCTGATATTATGACGGTTACCACTAGATTCAGTAGATTGTAATGGTCCAGGGTTAGGATGTATGCAGACTAAATCAATTTTCTCCAAGTGAAACCTGGGTGTATGATGATTGTAATAACCAATTTTTCGTCTGAAGAACCCTCGTCTGTGATGACAAGATTTTACAAAATTTGAACACTTTAGCCACAACCTGGCATCGCCAAGGACCCCAATACATCTATGATCACAAGCAATTCCATCATTAAATAAGTCAATCTTTCAGAGTATATGAGGTACAAACTAAATGTCACAACGAACAAAGTGAGCAGAGCTGAAATATGCAACGATGCCATTTTTGATAATGATGAGCTTCATTACACCTATGAAGTGTATATGCAAAAAATTCAAAACATTCTCTTCTTTAACCTTTTCATAACCTGCAACAAATTTTTTTGCTAAACATTGGACGGGTATGAACGAAGATGCTCTCGAAGAAGTTTGCGCACCAAATCTCTGGCGTAACACCATCATTACCACAATGAAACTGCTCAGGGTGATGCTGTAACCAGTGCATGTATACGTAACATAACAGATAGAGGTTGCCACAATAGCTAATGTACTGTCGAATGACATATTCGATTATGCCAGGCCTGTGATTAAGGGCTTCCAAATCGATACTACCATCATGCCATCCAGCCCACTTTGCCACAATGTATGCAACACAATTGAGACGCGAAAAACTAGAACCGTAACATTCC